CTGTTCTAGTTTTAGAAAGTGAAAAGGTATTGAGTCAACTCGATGATCTGGTTGTGTCAGATTCATTGAGCTGTTCATTTTGTAATACCGTGTTTGAAGATAAAGCGCAACAGAGACATCATTATAAATTAGATTGGCACAGGTATAATTTAAAACAACGTTTGAATGGGTTAAAGCCAATTAATGAAGATAAATTTAATTTATTAGCCGATGAAGGTATTGCATAAATATATATCTTTTGCACATAATAGTACGCTTACAAAATGCATATATAGTATTATCGATTTTATAGGCGACGTTTCAAGTCTATCTGGGAGTGACATAGAGACTGAAATTGAAGATGAAACCTATATATCTGAGGCGGGTAGTTCTGTTAACGGAGGTAGCGATTGTAAAAACAGTATTAACAAAAATAAGAAAGTCGAGAAGAAAGGAAGGGGTGTAGAGTCAATTTCTGATAGCTCTGATACAGAATGTTGCGATGGTACAATAAAAGAGAAAAAAGTTGAAGCTTTATTGGCTACAGCGAGTCGTCATTCCAAGGTCTTTTTTGAGAATGATGATGGAAACATATTTAGCATATACAGGTGTTTACTGCACAATAAGAAGGTCCGTTCGTTTGTATTGCGTAGGAAGTATAGTTTTGTGAATACTTTTGTATAAGCACAGACATACCTGTCTATCATCTTACATTGTGATATAATCTACTTTGTTAGAATCACTTGGCGTGTCTGTACTTACCAGATCAGGAGAGATGCAATTACATTTTAGGAAATTCCTGAGGTAGACAATGAGATGATAGCTCAAGCATTAAACAGTGGTAAAAAGGCAATATGGACTGTCATCATGATTGGTGGAGGACATTTTGCTGCAGCTGTGTTCCAAGGTATAAATTTGAATATATTTACGAGCATGAAGAAATTATGAAAATTATTAAAAAAAAAAAACGTTTGTTTATCCCGTAAATTTCTATCTTTTTCAGATGGAGAACCTATGGTCCACAAGACATTTCATTCCTACACTGTGCGAGCGAAACAAGGATTTGCCCAGAGCTCGCGTACAACAACTAATCATCAAAAGAGTGCTGGAGCTAGTTTACGACGGTACAATGAAGCGTCTCTTCTTCAGGTATTTTTACCGATTGATCTAAATATTAATCGGTTCTTATACATGTTTCACGATATTTCGTTTCTTTCAGCACGTACAAGATATACTCGAATCATGGTCGTCTCATATCACTAATTCTTCCTTGATACTGTATAGAGCGGTTGGACCGTATAATCGTACTGTATTGTTTGGAGGAAAAAATCCACCATTGGATAAAAATGACTCGAGATTAAGACCGTTGCCATTTCCTACTCGTAGAGCAACATTTAGCGAAGTTAAGCGAGTGTATGATATACTAAGTACCATGGAAATTTATGGTACGTAATATGTATATTGAATCTATATATTTTAGTGTTATACTTTTCCTATCATTTTCGTACGTTTAGGTTCCGCGGCCGACTTTACGGATTCCTTTCCAATTTCTCCACGCCAGCCTCTCAGAAAAAAGGTATCAAAAGTCGATGCACCCGTGGAAACGTCGGAAAAAATCGAGAATATCGAGTGTGATCCCAGTACTGCCAATAATATGTTTAATCCTCAAGATAACGATAAAAATAAGACCGTCGCACAATCTTCTCCGGAAAGGCAACACAAAACTCCACGATCGCACATAGATAGGGCAAAACCAAGAAAAAGTCCGTGTAGACCTTTACCAGGTAGAAATTATAAAATCGAGCGTATTAATTAACAATTTATCTCGGTCTTGTCTCGAATAATAATATCTCGGTGTTTTCCTCTTTAAGATATCGTCGCTAGATTAGCACAATCATCTTCGGAATCGGAATTAGACAGCCAATTAAACAACTCCAATATGCCAATGGATGTTATGTTAATTGAGCAAGAATTAGAAGTGGATTTTCGCGAAAATTTACTTGCTTTTCAAGATACCGTGCCAAGATACATGAAAAATAAGAAATCGCGCCGTCAAAGAAAGAAATCTAAGAAAGATGGTACGTTGTTATACAATTTTACGCCGTAATTATTTTATTTAAATTTTACCTCTGAAACAAATTTTATTTAGATAATACGTTGAACGAGGTTTTAACTAGCGCTAAAATAAAATTATGGTCTGCATGTAAATTGGGCGACAGTGAATTGTTGTCAACTGTTATCACTAGTTTATTAACAGAAGTAGATAAAGGTGTAGAAATGGAAGAGCAAATTAAAGAAGAGGCGTGTATCGAAGAGATTTGCATCATAAACATGGAGGATATAATGAAACTGGTAAACGATTCGAACGAGGACGGTAATACGATGTTGCATTTGGCAGCTTTCGGAGGACATATAAAATTAGTGTGGTAAATTGAAATTGTTGTACCGATCGAGAATTTCTCCTTTTTTCGAATGTTATTCCAGAGAAATTTGATTTTAGGCAATTGCTGGAAGTTGGATCGGATCCGTGTAATAAAAATAAAAAACTGCAAACACCGTATGCAGCTGCGAACGATAAAGAAACCAGAAATGCTTTTAGGAGGTTCATGGGTGCGAACCCCGATAAATTTAATTATAGTAAGGTACTTGTCCGTCACCTGCCACAGTTGTTTGATAAAAAGCTAGTCGCCGCTTTAAAAATAATATATATATATATATATATTTATTTGGTTCATAGTCTCAGATACCTGGACCGCTTACCGATGAAATAGAACAAGAAGAATTAGAAAAGAAAAGACAACAGAGAAAGGTGAAACGAGAGAAAGAAAAAATAAAAAGGAAAGAATTCGAGCTGAAGAAGCAAGAGGAAGATACGAAACAAAGATTTCTTAGTCTGAGCGATAGAGAAAAAGTATGTACTTGGAAGAGCGAAGGAATCAACTCGATTTCTGTTGGTATAAATTCGCTATACTTTTGTATATTACAGAGAGCGTTATCTGCCGAGCAACGGATTTTAAAGCAGGGCTGTACAATGGTTTCACGGTGTTTCCAGTGTGCAGTGAACATGGCTGGTCAGGTGCCTTTCGAGTATAATTCCAATCGTTTCTGTTCCATGCCGTGTCTAAAAGAGCATCGTCTGCGCAACAAAGTTGCTACTTGATGTTGTATTACGTTCAATACAATTGTTTCGTAACCATCAAAACGAACCAGATCTTTCCATCGGGTACAAATTATGATAGCGACGTAATTGTTACACGGCTAGATCGAATTGGATAAATATAAGTTTTGTGGATAAGAAAACTTTGCGAATAAAATCAAATCAGTAATCATAACATAATCAAATATACGCACTTTTCGAACAGTTACGTACGATAAAAATACTTTTTAGCATCGTTGCTTTCTTCGCTGTTTTCTTCTACTAGGAAGGAAACAGTGACGCGGATATAATGTCGTTTTTTAAAATGATAAGTTAATGATAAGAGACAAGCTGTGTACAAACAACTCTTGCTTCTTAAAAATTAAATACACTTTATATATTTTTCGAGTCGATTACATTTTAATATATAACTTTCTTTTATCGTATATTAAATGACATACACAAAGGGACTAATATTGTTTAACGCTAATGCTAAACAGTAACTAAGTTCCACACTCATGACCACAATAGTACACTCATACCGTGTCCACGATATTACAACATCGCGACGACTCTATATGTCATAGTGTTGTAATATCATAACGTTCAAGTATATTATATCATTATACGGTAATTAATAATCACGCGAGAAGCAAGTCTTTCAGAGTATAACTTCATAGGGAACACAAAGTTTCTTGCGTATAAGACGTTGTTTCCACAGATGCTTACAATTACCTTTTGATATTGAATTTATACTGTGCTGGTTTTAGTGCAGTTATCGTTAAGAGGATTTTCAGACGGCACCTGCGCATTTATTCGCGAATATCGTCGATGACTAGTATCAAAAACAAAATAGAAATTTGTCAACACATATACTGGCAATACCGTGGCAAATTGAAATTGGTATATCGTTTTGGTCTATCGATTGGTGGTATCGCGTTTCTTTTCTCTTGCACGTCGCGATACCAGTACGAATCGTTTGAAACTCTTAACGAAAGCAAAGTTGGAGTTTTCGCATCGGAACTCTTTTTAAACTCGTCGACTACGCGCACAGTGAATACTTGGCGGTGTGAGCACAACCGAATATACTTCGAGTATTTACACGATATATCTTATCTTTATTTCCATAAAAACAACGCTTCTTAGCTCGACTCGAATGAACATGGTGCACCGAGATCGAGAAGATTCACATATATATGTGTGTGTGTGTGTGTCATCGGTCCAACTAGTCCTTTTTTCTACATTGATTAAACTGTACGCACAACAATATGAGAAAATAATTCGATTTGGACTCGTCGACCTTTGTTCTATCGCTGTCGAGGTGTGGCGCTTTAGGCTAATCGAACTCTGTTCTATCATGCGTGGTCTGCGTTCGGTCGCTAATCTTTAGAATGGAAATATCAATTTTTCAAAAACTCCTGACGCCCGAGCGGCTGTTTAAGTACACAGAATGCGATAATTTTCTCGTTTTGGTAAATCCATCGTCGTTGCACCAATTCGTGGCTCTCGTGAGTTGGTTCAGTTTGCTTCTAAAATCGGATTCCATTTGTTTTTACAGGTTGTCGGTTTCCAACCAGCTTGGACTCTATTACTGGTCGATCTGTTGCGATCTAAATGGACGTGGAATCGTCGGAATCGGTATCGTCGCATTCTTCTCCGTACAATCCGCGAATATCTCCGTCGTTCCAATTGTTGTTCTCCAGCTTGACCTCGTACCTGTTCTCTCGTACCGCGTTCTCCGAGGGTACGATCCTGACGTACGTGTTCTTCATGTTCTTCGGATCGGCTTGCACGATGGTGTTCTTCGCCATCGGGCTTCCGTCGCCGCTGCACGACTTCGAACGCGTTTTCACCGCGGTTTTCTCGTCGAGCATCGACTCCAGCGAGCTTTTCCGTCGACTGCTCTTTCTGTTTGTCGCCTTTTCCTTGTTAACGGTCGCCTTTCGTCCACCCTTCGGGCTCTCGTTCTCCAGGTATTTCTTGATCCATTTCGGCGTGTCGCTCGAGTACGAGGTTCTCTTGGTGTACTTCGGGCTGGCCGTGATCATAGGCACGTCCGTTTCGATAACGGTCGTGATCACCTGCTCGTTCTCGTCGAAATTGCTCTCCAAGTATTTCTTCTTTGGTAACGCGGACATGCTGATCTTGCCGAGCAGTGTCGAGCACTCGTCCGAGGTTTCGTACGTGTACGAATAATGTTTCTGAATGTGTCTCGGCTCGTCGACGATGTCCACGACCGTCTCCGAGTTGGACATCTCGTTCTTCCGGTTCTCCTCCTTCTCGTCCCTCTTGAACCTCTCCAAGGCTTCCTCGAACAAGTGCTTCGGCGATTTCCTGCCGAAATCGAGGGGTTTGATCGGGGAGATGATGCTCTGCCTGAGGTTGCCGGTGATGCTGTGCCGCTGCCTGGTCGGCGGGTCCAGCAAACGTCGCAGGCTCGAGTTCCTTATCTCGGGTACCGACATTCTCTCTCTGGTGTGCACCGGCGAGACCGACGGGAACTTGTTGCTCTTTTGCGAGGCGGTGATCGACGCGAACAGGTTGCTCTTCCTGCTCAGCTGAAGCTCGGCCGACAAAAGCTGCCTTTCCGACGCCGGCAATATCGGCGTGGTGCTCGCCACGAGCACGCTCTCCAGACCTTCCCTCGTGGGGCTCTTCAGCCTGGTCGCCGTTATGCTCGCCGTTATGCTCGCCGTTACGCCGCCACCCGTTAACCCCGCGTGTTCCTCGATCTTCGTTTGCTGGTGCTCGCTGATCGGCGAACTGGCGATTGGCAGTAGCTTCGATCTGGTCACGTCCTGGTTGCGCGTCAGTTGACTGTCCAAACTGAACCGTTGCTTCGGGGTACCGGCTATCAGCCTGAGATCGTTCTGCGTCTCTAGTTCCGGGATCGAGAACCGATCGCGGTTGAATTTCGTCGCAGCCGACTCCTTCACGCACCTGTACTTGGCGCCAAAGTCGAGTTGCGACAGACGGTCCCTCTGGCTGGCGTGTATCGCCGGGGAGAATCTCTTGTGCTTGATCGGCGGCGGGGACGGAGAATGGAACACCATCGTGGGCAGAGTCATCTCTTTGCCGGAGCTCAGGCACGGATGGGACAGTCTTTGTTGGCCGCGGCCCGGATGGTAATCGCCGGTGACTAGAGTCGGTTGAGAGAGTCGTTCCCGCTTCCCTGTCCCGGTGTCGTGGCGCAACGCGAACCGTCTCACGTCCGGCTGCGACAGCCTCGAGGAGCCTTGATCCATCGTTAAACTACCCCTCGAGCTGCCGCCGAACCCTTGGACGCTGCGCGCCGACAATCTCTCGCCTTCGTTGATGCTGTTGTCGCCGGACGCTGCCCGGAGGCTGGTGTAAGAGAGCCTGGTGCCTCGATTCATCCCGACGAAATTGATGCCGCTGAAGCTGGAGTTCAGGGTTGGCTGGGACATCCTGATGCGACGATCCGGCGAGCCACCTCCGGATCTCCGGTCATGGGATATCAGCAGGGTTGGCAGATTCGGCTGAGAGTAACGACTGCGTTGGCTGGCGGGCGAGTAGCTCGGAGGGCACGGCGTGGTCGAGTAGGTCCCTTCGTAGGTCGCCGAGTCTTGAGACTCGATACTGGACTGCGATTGGGGCGGTAGTTTCACCTGGGTGATGTTCAAATTCGGATGCGAGAGTCGGTTCTTGCGACCTTGGGTCGGCTTCTTCAGCTGGTCGATCAGGTTCGGCTGCGAGAGACGGATGTAAGAAGTGGGCTGCCGATTCAGGTACCAGAGGTCCCGTCGAGAGTACGGCTCACATCAGAGGGTCGCTCCTTCTCTCAGACGACGGATGAAAATCGGTCGAACGTCCTCGAAGAACGAGGGCAGATCCAATTCCGCGGCGCGAGCTATTCCACCGTCCTTGCATTCCAGCCAGTAAGTGTCCATCAAGCCTTTACCCTGACAGAGATCGAGATCGTTAATGTTCTCCGTTGTTAACATTCACCGTTGGTACGCTTCGCTACCCCTGGTAAAAAGTATTAGATTTCAAAGAGACGCGTTACGCTCGTTTCACGCGTGACTCGAAAGTCGAGGAACTAGGTCGGATCGCGTCGAACGGAATACTTGTTGCCAGGGGTTGTATGTTCCGTGTACCTTCACGTCCACCAAACCGCGGCGCTCTATCTTGAATCCCCCTACAGCGTCCAATGCCTTTTTCATCTCCAGGCTAATGTGTATTCGTAGCGCTACGAGCGAAGAAGGTTCAGTAACATTGCTTTCCAAGCTCCTAACGAAGATCGATTAAATCGTAAAGAGTCGACGGTGTGTACCTTCTCCGGTGGATTCCATGCGACTGGCCGTGTTCACGGTATCCCCGAAAAGACAGTACCGAGGCATTTTACTGCCAACGATCCCGGCGACGACGGGGCCCGTGTGCGCGCCACTTCGTATTTGAAGTCGTTCCCCCGGCCTCTTCGGCACTTGGAACACCGAGGATGCCGCCAGCAGATCCAACGCCATCGTCGCTATCTCGGAAACGTGTTTGTCCCCTGCGAGCAGGCACACGGAATTACACGTGTGCGCGACACCAAAAATACCTGTTTCTTTTTCTTTTTTCTTTACCGTTCCTAACTGGCAAGCCGGAAGCCACCATGTACGAGTCGCCGATGGTTTCGACCTTGTACACGTCGTAGCATTCGATGCGAGCATCGAAAAGTTTGTAAATCGAGTTCAGGAACGTGACGACCTGAAAGCGCGCGACGGTTTTAGGTTATGAACGGGGAGCGATTAAACTCTGCAAGTTAGCAATGAAATGGATTTACTTCGAGGGGTGTATTCTCGGCGGCGATCTCCGTGAAACCGACGATGTCGCTGAAGTAGACGGTCACTGCCTCGTAGTATTCGGCTGGAACCTTTTGTCGGACGAGAAAACAAACGTTTACGGTTCGTACAAGAGGCGCGAACTTTAACGCTTTACGTCCCGAAGGTAACTCGACAGCCTTAAACTATATCTGGTATAAAGATAGCAGTGCGAAGTAAGAAGAATATTGTTCAGGACGTAAAGGGTCAAGGAACTTGCCATCGGAGTACCTGTTGCGTTTGCTTCAACTGTTGGGCCACGCTAGGTGGTAACATTTGGAAGAGCAAGGTGTCGCTCTTCCCTTTCTCCTGCTTCAACTCCCGCGCTTTCTGCGCCAAATTCGCTGCGTACATCTGCAGAAAGATTCCCGCGTTGACGCGTATAATCCGAAGCAACGCTAGCCATCGAGGGACGCGAGTAATATCGCGAAAAGGTATCGCAATGTTTTCATCGCCGCGTTCAATCAATTCGACGCTAATAAATTCTCATTTATTTTCCTCGTTTCAACGAAGAACCGACAACGTGCGCGGGAATCGTGCGTCGTTTAGTTGGGACCCGATGCAAGAGGAAAGCACGTGTCGCTTAATTGGAGACGTCGATAAAGACGATAAAGGTGAGAATTACGCGATGACGGCTAAACGGAAATGGATTGATGGATCGGAGAAGGTTTTCGCTTACCTGTATAGTAGCTACCGCGTTACGCACGAGGATGATGATGATGGGGGAGACGACCAACACTAGAACGACTATAGCGATTCCGGCGACTTCCTTGTTGCTCGCGTCTTGCAGGGTGGAGTTCACGTAAGTCCTGTTCAAACGAAATAACAATCATCTCGAAACCGTCGCTATTCTCGCGAGCTCGGTGCTGCCCGGTCGGGAGCCGGCAACCGGCAACCGGCAACCGGCAACCGCAATTCCATTAGCAGGATTCACCTTATCATGTGACGTAGTTCCCGTTGTAGCTTCCGCAGTTCGTCCACGTAAGTCGCCATTGAATCGAAATAAGCGATCGCGTCGTCCACGCTCGGCTCCCTTTTCTGGTGCTTCAGGATCTCGTCTCTCCTACGGCACGCAAGCTAATTTTTAAGATGATCCGTCATTACAAACAAACTGCTAACAAATCGCGACTGTCACGAGTTGCCGTTTACAATGGTCGATCGTAATTCGCCATGATTATCTTTCTATAGAGAGATTCCTACTTGGATCGAGTCCAACCATTACACTCGAACCGATGATTACCAGTGATCGGTAATCTGCGGCCGGATTCGAGAGTCCGGAGATTTATTGTTCGTCCACCGGCGCGTGTTCATTGTATACCTGGATTTAATTCTGCTGTAGTCTGTCATGGAGCGGGTGAGGTCCGCGTAAAAGCGCTTCAGGGACGGCACGTATGTGAGGGAGCCGGTGAGGAGATCACGTCCGAGAGCTTCGTGGCGTACGTAGCTGACGTAATTGTCCGCCGATAGGATTCCGCGTCCGAAGTAATTGATTCCGTAGACGGAAGCGATGCCCAGGCTCTCGATGCTCCTCAGCAAATTTTTGAAAGCTATCAAATACCTGGAACGGAGACACGCATCGTCGTACCGCGGGGCTCTCGAGGGTATTTTCGAGATCGCTCGCCTACCTCCAAACACCGCTGTTGTCCGTTTCCTTGATTTGGTTGGTCAGGTGGTCCAGCATCGCCGCGTTCACGCTCGTGTACCACGCCATCACCTCGGTGATGCTGCTCTCCTCGGAGCTGATCTTCTGCCTGGGAAACGCGAAAGGAACTTCGTACTCTAGGGGCGTCGGGACGTCCTTTTGCCGCATCGGAACTAATCACGGCCCGAAAGTCTTTGAATCGGCGAGCTGTTCCGGGCTCGATCACCGTGGGAAAAGCCGTGATTCGATCGCGACGTTGCAGCGTCTCGCAGCGTTGCGCGGTGAATCGAAACGGTAAGATTTCTCCGATACGATAGCATTCTCCGCAACGATTCCATCGCGATACGATTGTAGGAAAGTTACGCGCCAGAAGAGAGGAAGGGAAAACGATGCGCGAGCTCGGTTAAATATGGAAAGACGCGGAGCGCATCCGGGGCAGGAACAGAATCAAAGTACCGGAAGAATACGAGGCGGAAACGTGCCGCGAGTTTCACGATATCGCGACGAGGTATACGGCCGAGTCGCACCGACAAAGGGTAAATGGAGCTTCTCCTAAGTGCATGGAAGGATCGTTGCGAAACGGCGGAGCGTGGAGAATCCGTCGCACGCCGTCGACGAAATTCGACCGTTTCCAGGGACGAGGAACGGCTCCAGCGGGGACGACGGCGAGTTTTAGCTAATCGTTGTATCGAGCCGGGAGCTTTTAGTCGAAGAGGCGCGATAGTTGCGCGGAGGGACAAAGAGGGAGCTGCGAAGGGTTGACAGGAGGGAGACGGCGGGGCGGAGGGGTCTAAAAATATTGTCAGCTGCTCCAAATGGGCGGTCACGCGCTCATGTGTGACAACCGCGTCCATTGCTCGTAAAGGTGGTTCGACAGAGAAGGCCGTCGATCGACACAGAGAAAAAAACAGCCACGATTTTCTTTTCGAAGGCGCTCGTTGCAAATCCGCGCGTGTTGGAATTTCTCACAGGATCCGCCGGCGCTGAGTGCATAGTCGCGAACATGCATAGTCATTCTATGAATTCTATAAATTCGGTTATTCGCCTGTTCGAAACGTCTATTTTCGGACCCCTAGTCTTCGAGATCCAAACGAACGAGCATCTAATCTTCCAGGGAAGACGTTTACCGGCCGATTTTCCGAGTTCGCCGCATCATGGCAACGACCGTAGACGAAGCCGTTCGCTTACCAGCCGCTTAGCGGTCGCGTCTAATCCAGCCTGGTCTTCCCCGGGCTGATAATAGTTGCTCGGAAGTTCCGATAGTACGGGGCAGGGTCGTCGCGCACCGTCTCGTTACGCGAAGTAGCCGTGTAAACGAATCTTGTTACGGCCATTAATATAATTGGTCCGAAACGAAACGGGCTGCGATCGCGGTGACTCATTAGATCGCTGAAAATAATCACGCTCGCATAACCACGCTAATTAATTCAGTCGACGGCCCGATCGATCGATCCTGCTCGCCACCCTGAAGATTAATAAAACATCGGTGCTTTCGTTTCATCTGCCACGCTAGAGTTAATACGCATCCGTGTCTCCTCGTCTCTCCCTCTCCCTCCCCCTCTCTCTCTCCGTCGCTCTGTCATTCTCTCGCTCTCGTCCCTTCTCACTCTTGTCAACCGAAGATAATATCTTCCCGTTGGAAGACGAAGAGGATTGTTAGCGGCTTGTTACCCGGTGCTCCCGCTGACAGAAACGCGTTCCGTCTGACATGCGGCCCGGTGTGTAATGGCCAACAGGCAAGAAACTACTAGGACATATCGCGTTATTCGATCGATGGAGAATTTTTCTTGCGCCAACGGAGGAAGCCCATTGTCTTTCATTCCGTGTACCGTCGAAGCGACGATCTAGGTCGTGGATGAAACTTTTAGGGTGGAATCGCTATATCGCGCATTCGCATTGGACCGAGCGTCTTCGAACTCTATCATCCCGTGTCTTAATTATGGTGCCTCGAGACTGTACGATCCGCGACGAAGATAGTTCCCGAAGCACTCGGCACGCGAGCCTCTCCCGATTGTCTTGTGCCGGCGCACTTCATCGGCGTATCGATTTATCGGGTATACCACCCCTGGCGAAAAAGTATTCGATCGAGGAAACTTGGCGTCCGTTCTAAAAATTCTCCGCGTGTCAGACGCGTGAAACGTTTTCATCGACGATAACCGAGAATCGAATGAAATATTCGTAAGAAAGCCCGGTAAAGAAAATATCGACGCGGAAGCATTCGATCATTCCCCGGGAAATGCTTCGGCAACTTCTACCGTCGTCCCCCTCGTTCGACTCATCAAAGTTTCTCTCTTACGATTTTCTTCGTTCGCCGATAGTTCTGTTTCGCGAGTGTCACGCGCCAATGTATCCTTCCGCGTTCAGCGAACCGTTATAACGTGGACATTAATTTTACCCTCTTAACGAGTTCAACCCTGCGAGGACTGACAGTGACTGCCAAACGAGACGGATTAGTCGTTTATTCGACTGAACGATAATCGTACGAAATCGTTGTTCCGTTATAAATAACCTAGCTGGAAAAGTTTCTTTGAACGTATCCATGACGACAGTTTCATCCGTTTTCAGGTTTCCATCGTTTCCTGGTTGGACCGAACGAAGAGCGTGGCTGTCGCGAGTGTTCCAGTGTCAACCTCTTTTTCCTACACCGGTGACTCGGAGGATTTCGGACAGGTGATCCTCGGCTCTGTTCTCTATCGAGTTTTTCGTCGCGTCACCGGTCTCGGGAAAACCGGCCGGCTGTTACGTATTTTTATAATCGATCGATATGTACCAAGACGATTGCGACACCGCCACGCTATTATAAAAGCGTGCCTCGGTGGCTCGGTGCCTCGACGCCTGTACGCGCCCCTCCATCTTTCGGGGCTCTCCGCCGCCGCTCTTAATCAGCCGCGACGACGTCGTCGCATTCACCGCCTCACGCTCGCGCCCTGTGCTTGTACAGTAGTGCTCCATCTATACGAACCAATCGAGGAATAAGATGGTTCTGATTATACGGGTCTATTAATTCCTCTTAGCAGGCTCTCTTCGCTCGTTTCTACGATAGAGCTGATATTTACGGCAGAGCCGATGCTGTCCGACGAATAGTTCTATTATTCGACAGGCACAGAAATTCGAAATCTTTGCGATCTCTTGGGAATTATTCGTCAAGTCGATTTCACGATACGCGAACCGAATCATAGAAAATTATTGAAGAGTTCGATAAATTTATTCTTGTAATTACAGTAAAAAAAAGACAGGAAGCTCGATTCGGTTGGTTGGTAGTTCCAGCGCGAGCACGCGTAATTGAATATACGGCGGCTTTTATTCCTCGTTTCTCTGTAGATTGCGATCAGTGTCGATGCGTAGAATAGCGTTATCTTGTTCCTTTAACGGCGAATCTTAGTCGCTTAGTTCCAAGTATCGCTGCGAAGCAACGATTCGACGGGATATTCCCGTTTATCCTCTATTTTCAGGCTCTCCGAGCGGTTTATTTTTGCGTACGCATGCGATATTAACCACCCCATATTGCTGCTCTTCCTACGCACCGCGGCACGGTATTTGAATCCGCGAATTTAATTTCCACTGAGTTGCGAAATTCCCGTTCTCTTTACGGATAAGGCGATGAAAGAGCTCCTCGGCGGAGAAAGACGAATCATCTCGTCCCTTGCGCTTTCATCTTTTATCATTTCCCATTTTTCATCGTGTCGGAATACTTCCAGTGGCGGTTCGCGAGGATTCGCGTTGGTGGGGCTGCCCCAATCGAACGAATGTATTTACGTACTATACAGTACGCAGGTATGCGATACAAAATATATGGTAGATTTTGAATGGGGTCAATTACGGAGAGATGCTCCACCTTTTAAAAATCTGTTACATTGCATGTACATGATATAAGAAATAGAAAATAAATCGGAAAACATACATGTTCGACAATCTAAATATAATCGGACCTAACTTTCATTTTTCATTCTAGAGCCCGTTAGCAGTCGGTAAAGAGCTGTTTTCGCTTAGGGGATCGTTGGGCCGGTCGTGCGTCCGTGCGACAGTCGGCGGATAAAATTCAGCCAGCTAATTGATTGAAAAAGACCCCAGAGACGTGGTACGGTTTCCCGTAAAGGCAGCGTAGAAAATTGATCCCCGACGTGTGTGCTTTGAAAGAATCGGTTCGAGGAATTCCCGGCGCATTAATCGAGTGGGAAAGGCACGCGGAAAGGGAGAATTCTCCGCTTCGGGGCTGAATGGAAATTCAACAAGTGTCGGAACGGAAGGCTCGAGGGAATAGAGGCCACCGGCGTAACTTTCCGTACGACATTGCACCCGCAAAGGGTGGCGTTACAATTACTCGCCGCGTAAACGCGCTACTCCGCTACTTTCATTACTTTTCGACCGTCTTATCTCTCCGTTCATCGAGCAATTATAATTCCCTTTATTCGCGTCGCTCGCTGTTCGCTCCTATTTTTCATATCGGGTCGGCTCCGTTTATCGTTTAACGTTTCGCTGCTGGTTCGTTTTGTTAATCGATCCAGCTCGCGTTTTCGTATTTCTTTTGGTCCCGAAAGATTCCCAGTTAGCTGCATTGCGACGTAACGTTACGAATAACGATAACTTCGGTTTGCAGTTGGGAAACGAGTTCCAGTTGAACGAGCGTTCAAATTCTATATAGAACTACGCGAAACGCCGAAGGAAGAGGGATCACGGAGGAGGGTCTCGAAAGGCGATTCGTCGCGCAGGTGTGACGGAACGTCTAAAAAACATGCACACGTGCAACGAACGAGCGGATCGATCGCGTCGAAAGTTTTTCCGGCGATCAAAGGGGAGGCGATCGTCAGGCACATGAAGGGATATCTGACGTCATTAACGGACTCGGCTCGTAGTAAAGAGACCTCGAGCATTCGCCGATCGATTCGTTACCTGAAATCCTCGAGGCGTGCTTGGAAGGCCTCTTTGCTGACCACGTCATAGGTTTGCGTCTTGCTCTCGTCCCTCGGCACCGAGACCAGGGGCCACGTAGTCATGTTGTGGAGTGCCTGATCGGTTATGGCGAACCTCTGCGTCAGGTTTGACCTTCAACAAGCGCGAGAGACCATGGCTAATTGGTTTTGCGTCGATAAACTCGCGACGGGGGCAACTTGATCATGCATTTCCCGGCTGTGCAGTTTCCTCGCGCGGTTCTTTCTCTTTTTTCAGGTGCTCGCCTCGCGAGGGCTTCTAGCCTCCGATTCCCCCGGAACTTCCGAATAAAGAAATCAACCTGAACTCGCTGGCTACGAGAGAAAGGTAAACGAGTCGAATGATAAACTTTTCTTTTAGTTGGACGTTAGAAAGGGCCTCTAACGTCGCTACCCTATTACGTAATGTTCTATGATCCGCGTACGTATCTCGTAAGGTAAGCTCGACTCTTGCACGAAAAATACAACATAATGACGATATTAATACTAATTACAATGTTCGACAGAATAGTCTGTTCCTCGAAGAGCGCCACGTTTCGTGCAACTCTGATTACGATCGCGAACCTTGAGTCCAGAAGCGTCGAGGATTACCGATCGTCACTGACCGCGAGCCGAATGCGTGGACATCTAGCGTCGATTCGACGTCGGAAAATTGGTGATACTCTCCTCGGAAATGGAAGGATCCCCGCCTGAACCACGAGCGAGTCGAACTGATCTCGTATTCCGGTACGCGACCCTTTCATTGAAATACTAGAACCATGGTATTGGTATTCGAGCGCACTTTGATTAGGGAACAGCCCCGGCCGGCCATATCTGTTTTCATTGTCTTGATCGGTAAAGGGTTCCTCCTCTCTCTCTCTCTCTAACTTCCAGCCTCCCAAAGAATCGCTTTAATCACTGAGTCACGTATACCGGGGAGATCAAGAGCGACAGTACGGGGACGTTTCACGGATTCGTGGGCGGCGGGTAAGCGACTGGTAAAGCCCCCGTTCGGCAAATACCTGAGGGTGCTGCCGTTGGTGTAAATGAAGAACGCAACCTCGGATCTTTCGAGCTGCATCCGCGTCACCACTTTCCCCAAGTCCGTGGCTATCGTCACCTGGAATCAGATGATAAATTTGCTCAAACCATTATTTGCTTTTCCATTGTCTCTTTGGAAGCTTCGAAGTCGCTTCCAACGAAACGTTTCGCGAATGACAGTAGCATTAGTTCTTTAACTTTGATTAAATCGAAAACAAAGTGTTTTAATTTTCATCGAATCGGCCGATTTAGCGTAAAGTTCGTTGGTTACCGGTAGGAAGTGAATTTTCGATTTACTGGATTTGCCGGCGGAACGTCCTAGTTTTCCGATTATAATATTTCACGTTCCTTTTCTGAATGTGGGCTGCAGGCACAGGCCGTTCTCGATCGATGTTAGTTGATAAGGCCATCACGAGAGATAGGGTGTGTATTAATAGCGGATTCCTTCGATTCGCGGCGGGATATCTTCCACGATGTTAGCCGTTACTCTCGAAACGATTCCGTTTCGAAATGGTTCGAACGTATCGCATGTTCGACGAGTCGACGCGACGCTTTGCACAGTTAATGGCCGGCGTTGTTCTCGACTTGGCCGGAACTCTCGAAAGGGGGATGAAACTAATTCGCAAGTGGTCGGAAGGACAAAGTGGACAGCAAGTGTGCTTCGATTCACGAGTACTTGAATGGTTCTCATCGAAAGATGGTCCAACCGTTTAACGCTAGGACTACAGACCAGCCATGATCGACTTCCCTCATTTTTTCATAGCATCTCTTAGAGGCAAGTGCATCTGTCGAGATGTTATCTTTTCTATAATTACGAAAGAAGATCTCAGGAATGGATAACAACTTGACCGATCTGGCAGTTCTAGCGTTAGTCCCTCGCCGTTTGACTTATAACCTTGTAACGCATATAATTTCATTGCTATTAATATCGTTATCGATGTTTCAATGATTGTTGTTGTCATTGCGATTGGTACGATTGTCATCGATGCGCGCAATTATTGTGTGAAGGTGAATCGTTGGAGCGTCTCGCCATCCGCCTTCGACTCCACTTGAAACGCACCGACGTTAACACACCGGCGACCGCTCCAGCGTTTCGTCCTCATAATGTATTCCGATAATTATAGATCGCTCGGCACGGCAGCACGTGCGAGAAGCGCGCGAGAGACGGGAGAGAATGTTGTCTCGCCGCTCCTCGTTCTTTTTATATTTCACAGCGGTTTAGAAAAGAAGCGCTTGTTCCGTCTAAAGAAATATTCATCAAAGGAAGTTCGCTGTCAGTTGTTGCCCTCGCGTGTTGCCCGCTTGCCGAACATCGAAACTTTCAATTTTTAAGGTCTCAAACGGTTAATTCGCGCGGTGTCGGCGAATCTCCGAGCGATAAACGTGTCCCAACGAACTTCGTAACGGAACCCGAAGCGTTGTTTCGCCAGTCCTTGGACCGATGCCCCATAAAAGCCTCGGACACCGAACGTGCAAGGATTTTCGCGAACGTTGCGCGTCCGTGAAAGCGACCGGATGAAATTCGAGTGAAGCGGCAGGTGTCAGTTTTACGCGTCTGACCCGGTGACGCTTTATTCACTGCGAGGGAATTAATCGCGGCCATGCCTGGGCGTACGTACAGGCGTCTCGCGGGCGGTGCAACCAGAGTTAGACCCTATAGAAACTATAATCCCGTTACAAGCTCGGCACCATAGAATATTCGATCAAACCGAGATCAAGAGTTGGACAGGAATCAAGAGCCGACTTTCAGTCGTCCAGCGTGACGACGCCGCTAGTAGACGTTCGTCTGGTAGAGCCGTACAAGCGGAAACTCTTAAAAGCACGGGATGCTGGCCGGGTAACTAGAACGCGAACGCCAGGAAAATTCGTTAACCGTTTTACGTTCCTGCGGCCGTGTGTATCGTGATCGATTCAATATCGGCCCCCGGCTCCCTTTCAAAGGAAAATTAAATTAGCTGGCGGGGGTCGGGCCGAGCCGGACCGAGCCGGACCGAGCCGGCCCGGCGAACGGTTGAAACCCCGCGGAAGAATCTCAATAGTTTCTCCTATATAGATTTTTAATTGCGAAGGGCGTGGCGGGGCATCAACGCGCCGGTATAAAACACTCGACGCAACGAGAACGTCGAGAGCGACGAGCGCGTCGAGCGCGTCGAGCGCGTCGAGCGCGTCGACGGCAAACATCGTCCTCCCGGCCGGGGTTCGGCTTCAACGGCTTTTAGGCCGTGCTCCTGCGAGCCGATGGACGCTACGACGGACGTTGCAGTAGAGAATGGAAATACAGAACCGAGGAACAAGCTTCCCTAGGTCCAAATTCAAAGATGCCATTCCGAATCTCGCATGTAAACGTATATTCGTTTTTCAAGGTATATCCATGGTATCTATCGAAAAGTAAAATTCTATGTCGTCCATCTTATTCTGGCGAACACTCGATGTACACCGAGGTGAAAAAGCGACTGGGCAACCAGCAACCCCGGTTAACGACGTCCGTTGTTTCAACGCTCGCGCGACCACGGCCTTTACGGTTCGCTTCATCTTCTTCTTTTTATTCCGGAGTTCCTTGCGCGTCGATAACTTACATTTAATAACTGCGCGTTCCCCACGGGTAACGCCAATTCCCCCGGGTACACCGGTGGAGAGTGTATTTACTCGTTCCGCGGGGATAATACACGGTGTTCCATTTTAATATCCCCGAGCGAACATCCCGAGGAGCATCAGAGAAAATGTGTCCCCGGGAAAGTTGTTCGACATCGAGGAGAACTGGTGTTGTGCTCGCTTTTATTATATACCCTACGATCACCTTCGAAACTCCTGGAAAACTGGACGGAACGCGCGAGTGGGCGATGCTTCCAATTCGAATCGCCTCGTATATATCGAATTATACGATATTAATATTGAGTAGAAATGTGATGAAGCCATTAATAGTCGATTATTGCCTTGATAAACGAATTTAACAAAGTCCATTACCTTTCCTGTCACAGCTGAGAACTCAGCCGAGCCAAAAAACTTGTTCGGGATAACAGCGACATGGAAAAAGGAAAATTGTGGATCGAAAGGGCGAAAAGGGAACGAGAAACGAGGAGGATCGAGATCATTCTTCCCGCCCTGGGTGGGTGGCACGCCGCGCTGCTCGACCAACAAGTAACTCGACGCCGAACAGCCGCTACTCGAGGCTGCGCAACCCTGTTTTCATGTATTTCGATCTGGTTTATCGACATCGACTTGTACCGAGGTAACGTCGTCGCGTTCATTCGATCCGCGATCGCTCCGTTTCGCTATGGAAATTTTTTCGACCGCGAACCTAGCTAGAATTAAGGGACGTTAATCCTCTTTGCTTTGCCCCATTCCCTGTGTCGCTTACGTTAACGATCGGCCCTTTGTTGACAGACCGTTAAGCGTTGAACGGTGACCCGAGTCTCGACGTCGAACCAACTCTAGCGACTGCATTCCGTTCTGTTTTGTGTTTCTCTGACACGAGCGAACAAGAGAGAGAGAGAGAGAGAGGGCGAGTATACCGTTTAACGCGTCCACTGGCACAAAGGTCACCGACGACCGTTTCCGAATTATTCGAGATTAAAAATGTATTAAAAACATATTTTGACAGATTTTGACTCATCGAAACAAAAAGCTGACGCGGCATCGAACAAGCAACAATTGTTCGTATCTATTCTGGCCGGGAAAGAATAATATGATACGCAAAACGGTAGAGTTTGTTGTAGCGGTCGACGTGTTAGCCCTGGTGTTGATTGAAAATCCAGCTATTCGCGTGGTTCGATCGTTGCTAGGAACAATGCGATCTCGGCGCGAGGAAACATTGTAAAGAAATTGACGCGCGCGGAACAATGCGGGCTCTCTTTTGTCGATGACCAATGTATCGCGCAACGATGGAATTGGTTATTACCGAAGCGTTCGCGCCGCGATACGAAATATTGTCGGGCGCAGGAACATGTATCCCGGCTTCTATGGCCGCTGTGACGCACGGCTGTAACGATATTTTATCTGACCTTAACGCGGTCATCCTTGGCACTCGTGGATCAGTTAACGATCCGATTTTCCCCGTCCGAAATGACCGATAACGCGCGAAAATCGCATCGATACGATCCACTTTGAGCGTAACACCGTTGTTCGCTACATATTTCTACGGCTCGATCCGCGACGAGCTGGAATTCCAATGTCTACCGTGACGCACGAATGGAATTATTCTTTATCTAGTCCTAATGCGATCATTCTTGACACATGTGGATCAGTCGAGACGATTCGGTTTCTCCGTTCATTTAAAATGAACCTCCAACTTTTCTATCTTTATTTTCTGCGAGTAACGAATAAGTGGACTAGTTAACGCTTCGCGGGCAAGGGTTTTCTCAAGTATTCGTTTAGGATTACGTTAGGTTGATATCTTCGTTACTATGAAAATAACGACATTCGTCCTCGGAGGGTTAAATAGAAATCGACCGTTTCTTTCGCGTTGCGATCGTCATCTGGTTTTCTTCGACGTTTCATCGAAAGCTCGATGGAGCTCATTATCGAAGCTGCATGGTAATTCGACGCCGTGTCGAATCATGCAACTCCGGGAACAATATTCAATGTCGGACGCACGGCTTTCGCCATATCAACGCCGTTTCGATATTGATTGTAAAGCCATTAATACAAAGAATCAACGAAATACGGGAAAGGTAAATAGAAGCGCGAGCGTGGACGTTTAAAGCGAATGAATTTCACGATAAACTACGGCTATCGATAGTCCGGCTGACATAAAGTGACCTATCCGCGTAAGGCGACCGAAACGCCTCTAATTTCCAATAATTGCGGCCTCTTAACGTTTCGTTTCTGCGAAATTCAATCCGCGTGTTAAATGTTTCTTAGAAACAGACCGCTGTCGCGTCAAAGTATCTGTGACTGGTAGTCCCGCGTTATTTATCGCGCATTTCGGATATCGACGTATAATCGCAATATTTCGAATCGTCTACAAGCAGTCGGAGCACAGCGTAATTTAATGTACGATAGACGTAATTGGCAGTCGTTCCTATTTATCATTGTTACGAAAGATCGAGCGATAAGGAAAAGCATGTTTCCGAGAGGGACCTTGTAAAAAGAAGCGCGCGTCAATGGGACTGTCCGGTCACTAATCGGTAATCGGTTCGGGCGCGCATGATAAATAACTGAACAACAAACTGTTGAGCGCGCCCTTTTGGCGCGATAAAAATTTCACGTGTCCGAGGCCGTGGGAGGCAGGTCGGGCACGCATTAAAGGAGGTATCGGGCTGGAAAATGAAGAGCCGAGGTCAGCCCAGAAAAGGGCTGTCAGTTGATACGAATTTATCGATAATTTTCATCTACCCTGAGCCGGAGCGAGCCGTGCCTTTCTTAAAAGGGAGTAATATCCCGAATAAATTGCCATCGGAGGGGGAATAATGAAACAGCGTGCCGCGTCCCGAACCAAACCGCTGTTGAAAACGTCCGACTCCTTACAGTTCCGTCCCTCGATGTTTACGCTGAGAAATTTCCGCGAAAGAGAGCCGTGGAAAGTACAGTAGCGATCTATGGACTCCTTAATCTCCTACTTAACGCGCCGCGTCGCGATCGAGGATTTTCCGAAATATTCGAAACCTTTGGCGAAGGAAGAGAAATATATATATATATATATGTACATGAGGGTACTTTCGGCACGGAGATGCCCATACTTCAACGGTCGACGAGAATTCAAATTGCAAAGGAGGAAACATCGCGGTAGTCGTTGAGCCGTCTCCCCAAGAATTACTCTAGTCGTTTATTTAATATCGATGCGATCCGCTCCGATAAACGGCGGTTAACGATCCTGATACGCTGGATCGACGCATCGAATCGAGCCGTACCGTAATTCCTGTCGAAGGGGAAATCGCTTTTCCCGGCAGCGATCGCAGCTACAAATCATAGAACAGAGGCGATCCGTTATCGTGATCTGTGCGTTGTGTGCGTAGGACAATCGAAGAAACGTACCCGCTCCGCGAGTCGATCGAACGAGCAGACGGCTCGCGTAGGCGTGGTGGATGTTTACTCGTCCGTTCGTTCGTTACTTTTAGACGGTTCGTCGATCGATTGCCGCTGAATTATACGAGTCCGACCTAATTACACCGGCTCGCATAATTACGTGTACGTCGCGGAAGAATACACGCCGTTGAAAGGGAAGCGTCGCCCGTGTGCTTCCACGTATCGCTGGATCGCTCGACGATTCGGGAATTCGGCTGACCGATCGGTAGACGAGATCCATTGACGCAAACGAATTCGATACGACGCGATAAGACGCGGAGCTTAACGCGCCGTGTTCGCGAACGTTTATCGCATTTAGAAGTTTATTCTAGCGTTAACATGCTCGACGAAATAAGCTCCAATTACTCGGAGTCGAATGATTTTCCTCGAATTAGCTGTTTACCGACGATCGTAATCGATCACCGTTTCGTTCGCAGGATCGGTGAGCTGGCCAGCCAGCTAGCTAAGCGATCAAGATGTTTCACCGTTTACCTGGGTCTCGATGTCGGAGACCTCCTGCCGATAAATCAGGATATCGTGCAGCGTGTTAGCAGTCTGAACGATCAGCGCCAGGATGGGGATGAACGGTAGCACCAGCATTTGCAACAACTGAATACGGCGGCCCCGCCGGTGTGCGGGGTCGGTTGCACGTGCCCAACAAGATCTTTTCCGGTTGTTCTTCGTCGCCGAGACGTCGTCGGACGACAGACTCCTCACCGAGCTCACTTCCGCCACGCACGAGCCATTACGGGGTGACATGCTGAAACCAATTTCACCGTTCTTCTCAATCTCCGACGGAGCTGCAGCCTCTTTCGACGCTAGAACGACCGAACCATCGACGAACATAATGTTTTTATAGAAATTCTCAAGGGAAACAATTTCCCAATCGTTTCGATCCGTTCGGTAGTTCTAGCGTCAACTTGGTACTTCTAGTATTAATTAGTCTTTCTTTCGATGCAGCACGGAAAACAACAACTCTCGTCCGTTTCGACCTGGACTCTGAGCAGCCCTTGAATCGCAGTTGCCTCTGAATCACGGACAACCACGTTCGAAGGTGTATTTTATAGGAAAATCGGTAAGTAAGAGACTAAACAGATGCAGACATTGTCGCCTGACAATCGACGATTCTATCGGAAAAGATTCGAATACGCGTTGTTCCACGTTGGACCGCGATTTACCGCGAAATCAAAGGAGAAGTCTCACTTGTTTCACCGTATTCGTCTCTAATTGTAAGTTCCAAACGAAATTCTTCGCAAAATCGAACTGTTCGCAGGCGCAGAACGAGAGAGAGAGAGAGAGAGAGAGGGAGCGAGCTAGTCGTCGAAGACGTCCATGCGTATGCGATACGCGCGTGCAGCCGCGCAAACCAGGGCAAGCATTGTAATTAAGCTGTGCGAGCTATTTTACACTTAACTATATTAAGAGGAGACTATTTACGGTCAACTGGACGGCATACAGGGGTCATTCCTTGAGCGATCGCAAGCTGGGCACACATGTAATCGGTGTGGCGAACGATCCACGAACTGACGAATCTATGCCGAGAACCGAACCGACGGTCCACATGCTTGAGCGCCTCGTGCTTCAACCTGGCATTCTATTTCGAGGGTTCTTCCTTTTCCTCGGCCAATCTGGTTTCGCCGATTTTCAACGCGCGCAGCGAATTGATGCTTGTTTTCTAACGAATATAGCATAGCATTACCAAGACTTCGATCGACTTTGACAGCAGCTCGCGTGCCACTGTACGGACCAAACCGCTTCGGTATCCTCGACGCTATCGATAGATCCTACCGGCTACCTTGTAAGAGAAAATCAAACGCGCTCGAAGAGCTGGCACCCCGTTGAATAGCACCTGATTGGAACGAGTACGCGTTCAGACGCAAATTAGTGAGTCCGTTCCTTGCCCGCATGGACCTTTTCCTCGCTTCCGTCCACGAAGAACGCGACTATTTCTCGGATCTATTCGGTTCGTTTGCAGATAGGAAAGGAAACCAGCGGAAAATGAACTGAGAAAAACTAGAAACCGACGAATGAACCGAATTCTTTAGCTTAGCCATCGAATGACCTAGCAGTACGTCCGCGAGTTTTCTCCCTAGTTCATTCCTAGTTTCCACAGCTGTGTATCCGGGGTCGCAACGATACTTGCTCGGGTAAGAGGGAGTCGCCGAATGTACCTTGCGATCCAATTAATCGGCACAATCGGAAGGCAAGCCGCGCCGCTTCAACTTCCGGCAGAAGGCGAGACATTGCCCGCAGCCGGCTTCCGCGAACCGGGGAAGAATAAAGTGACGTTCGTTGATGTTCCAGGCAATAATCTCGGTGGCGACCAAGTTTCCGGCGGCGGTCGCTCGTTCCCGGTCCGAACAATACCCCGGCTTTCTTCTTCCCGGCACGCACGCCGCGCGAGGGAAACCCGGTTTCCCCCGGCGAGGAAACTTCTCGTCCCACCTGTTATTCTATCGCTCGCGTTTACTCTAATTTCTTCGGGAAACCACCACCTCTGGCCCGAGCTAACTAACATTCGGAAAGACAACTGCCAGTTTCTCGGGAAAAGACTCGCACGTTGTATCAAAGTACCACGACGCTTTCGATTGGCTAGCGATTTTCAGCAATTTTCATGAAGGAGATTGTAGACTCGATCGTGTCCTTTCCTCTTCAAAGTATCACCGCCGTTCCTATCGGTAGATTGTCACGAGGAACGCGCGTTTAGCTTTCGACGGCGCGACTACCGAGTAATCGGGGTAAAAGTTGCAAGATAAACGTTCAAACTTTGCTCGTCTGGGAATTCTAGTACGAAAATATGAAAAAGTAGTAATTCACGAGAAGAATACGGTCGGATACGGATAATCGTTTGCGCGAGTATGCCCAGCTGCGTCCGAAATTCTGATTAACGAGTTATTATTCCGTTGCAGAAGGGGTCGTGGACACGTGCCGATACTTCCAAGAGGGGAAGCAGAGGAAAACTAAGGATGGAACCTAATGGGCGCGCGGTGTGCATTAACGCAGCCCAGTGGACGATGGTATCGCGCGACACGAGTGTGTTGACAGAGCCGCGGGCTCCCGAGGGGTCCGGGAAAAGTCAAATTCATTTGTGCGCCGGTGACGGAGGGGCTCGATAAGGAGAAGAGGGAGGTTCGATCGACCGTGGTGGAGGAACGGAGCCCCGAAATGAAGTCTCGAAGAGGACGTCGTGCCCCTGCGTACACTCGATTCCATCGAATGTATGACTACATCTTTCTTAATCGCCGCGGGCCGGTCGTTCGCTGTCGCTCGAAAGACGGAGCCTCATTTCCGATCCACGATAAACTTTCTTCCCCATTCGTTGGAGACTAATCTGCTGCCCGGCATTGTATCTTGATACCTGACGCTTCGTCTATCGAGAATTCCTTTCGAGAATAACGTAGCAATTCCACGGATCTATGGGCATTTTCCTGTCGCGTCGTTAACCCTCCTCCAAACGAAGAAGCCGAATCGCGAGTCGATTCGACTGCTCGGTAGTTCTACCGTTAAAGGCCCGTCGAGGGTCTTGTTTCTCCGTGATTTGTCATTTTTATTGGAAAATGATACGACGATGCGGTGAAACGGCGAAAGTGTTTGCTCATTGAATCGAGCGGGCTGTAACGAGCAGGTTAGAAATAACCGTGCCGATAAATAGCGAATTCGCGTGAAAAATGAACGCGGCGAAAAAAAGAGGAAAGCTGATGGATTAAACTGGCATTCTTTCTCCAGGGCTCTTCTCCCGTGCAACGCCGAGTGTCTGCACGCGTGGTCATGTTTTTCGCCCCCGGTACCGGGTTGTTGTGTGTTCGACCGTCGGAATAACGGCGCGCGAAGCCCGTAACAGCAATTAATGGAACCGCAGAGAAGGTAGTACGCCGGCAGCAGCCTGTCCCTCGGCTGTCCCGTGCTTGCGGCAAGAGGCGATGCGCCATTAGATTATGCGTCACCGCTATAGCGGTTTATGAGCAATACGACTGTACACGGTACAGAGGGAATCCACGTCGTTCCGCGGAATCGCGTTAACGCTCCATTCCCGAGGCCGCGGCCTCGTGCATCCTACCGGGCGACCTGTGCGCGCCAGTGTCCCTCGAAATTCCACGTTAGAGGACTCTCGATAAGTGGAAGTTACTCTCGAATCGAGAATAACCGATTCAACGACTAAACGCCTTCCGTCTTCCGAAAAGAAGACATCCCGCCGTCGAGGAAGAACCAAGTCTAAACTCTCGGTAAGAGAACGCCCCCGGCGAGTTGGCAAGCAACGATGATCCATTTGAATCTTTTTAGCCCCTGGAAGCTGAGAAGACGGATGATATCTTCGGCAAGCAGCCGCGCGATCCCTTCGAGCCCTCGAGCCTCGGAGAGCAGGAGCACGGCAGCGCGAGATCGGTGGGAAATTAATAGGCAAGATGTCTTTAGGAATTTAGCGACAGGAATCGAGATAACCGTATCGAGGAGGGTCGCGTTGATCGCGGTAGACGTTTTTGCTTAATCCGAGCCAGCCTGTAAGCTCGGTGACCGCTGAAAAGTCATGAATCGAGCGAACACCCCTGCCTGGCGGGAGCCTCGGAGACGAACCGCCACGAGGAGAGCCACGGAGAGAGGAGACCCGTGGAAACCTCCGTGGCGGCGAAAACGCGGGAGCACAGGCTCGGCCAGGTGGCCGCGGACGCATCGGATGCAGCCGATTATCGCATGCAAACGCGGTTATACTCGCTCGTTCTGTATGGTGAGCATGACTGCAAGGGGCCAGCACGGTGTCCACCCTCGCCGCGCGCCGCGCGCCGCGCCGCGCCGCGATCTCTCGCGATTCGATGGATCCGACTTCGGGCCTGAATGGCTTAGGCACAGCCGGGCGTATTATCTCATAGAGGAGGCTGCTCTCTCTGTCCATTCAGTCTCGATATAAAGGTACGCGGGGAAGGGGCCGCCATAAAACCATCTCAATGGCGAACACGACTACAAATAATCGACCGACTGCAATGTTACAGACGAGCACGGCGTGTGTGTCCGCGCGACGCACTCGCTGCCATCGCCGATTCGAATCATGCTACCGGAACGAACGCTGCTCTTTCTTTCCGATTTCGGAGCCCTCGGTTCCCCGCCGGTCGGGACACTGCGCGTTCTTCGGGAGACGAGCCCCGGAACGGCACGGGTCGCTCGTTTTCTTCAGAATTTTAATTGGTCGCGTGCAACCGCATTGGCGAATAGCAAATTAGTGTCGAAAACGCGATGAGACCAAATTAGGCGCATTCCTTTCGGGGCTCATCTCCCGAGCGACGCGCAGTGCATTTATAGCGGAGCCGCGGTACTCGACGAGAGCGACGATGAGAGCGACGATGAGAGCGACGCGTACGAGTACCCGGCAGAAACGCGCTCGTTTTCTAATGGAAGCGTAATCGATCGAACAATACGTTTTCACTGTGTCTTTGGAAAGTCAAAGTTGAAATAATCGAAGCCACGCGACTGTTGATTTAGATATCCTAAAGCTACAGGTTTCCCATAAATTTGTATTTCTTTTCAGAAACATTCGACAACCTGTTGCGATTCCTGCAATTCAACGGCGATCGTCCATCGAACCGAAGACCACGGAAATTTCTTGGAGAATCCGATAGTCGCAGCACCTGCTTTTAAAGCACAACGTACAAGCAAAGTTGGTTCGGTGGACGCTGCCCCGAAGGAAAATTCAAGATCACCTGAGCCGAACTGGCTCTTCGCTAAAATCCCATTAGCCGCCCCGTAATTCGAGTCGAGTGTACCTAAGCGACTCTTAAATCTAATGCCTCTCGGAACAAAAAGTGGTCGTCGGTTGCTCGGGAGCACGTACACGCGTCGAACGCTGAAATCTAGCCGTTCTTATTCTTCGGAAGTGCCGAAACAACCGTAGAATAAAAACCACCCTTGTAAACTGTTAACCAGGAAGTTTTCTAAGCTTCGATCGCGTCGCGACATCTGTCCCGATATTAACGCTAGATTTACAGACATTTGTTGAACAGTTTATTTGAACGTTGATCGCGAATTGGCTCGTTTCGGAGTCCTCGTCGTTCGTCTCCGAGCACGTCCGCGTCCGATTTCACGGCAACAACGTTCGCCCGGTTAACAGGTTAAACGGTGAGCGCGTCTCGCGCGTGTGATTCTTCGCTGAACCGAGCTTATCGCTCGAACTACGGAGTAGCCGAAATAACTGGCAGCTGGCTCGCGGTTTCCCCTGTCGGATTTCTCGGTATTTTAATCAAACCAGAGTATACCTCCGAACGAGAATCGATTTATCGTATAATTTCCTCGAGAACACTTTTGTGATTTCCACAAGTGCAACAGGGGAAACCTCGGAGCCGTTCGCTGGAAGCGGTTCCGGTGAGTTCTAACTGAAATTCGATACCAACGGTGAAGAGAAGCGAAATCGGGAGAATTCGTTGGAACGTTTGCGAATTAAATTAGAAGGTAAATTGTCGCGTGGCAGGTGTCGCCCCAGGGTTCCGCGGTGCATGTCACCGAGTCGGAAGAGGGACCCCTCGGGTTTCCAGGATGGTCTCATGCGAGTGCAGCGGTGGCTCCGACGCGGAAGCGTGCTCAAGAAAAGTCTGCATGCTGGTGAAGAAGCGAGAAGCGGCGAGAGAGACCGGGGCCCGGCCGCGTTCGACCGGGCACGAACAATCGCGTAACGTCAATAGAGAAAATTGCTCTTACGCGCGTTTAAACGAGGACCACGAGAGACACGTGGTTGCAGTCACGAGGACGTTCCTGTCTCGCGAATAAACCTCTTCGTTCCTCTTTCTCTCTCTGCTCTCCTCTGCTCTCCTCTGCTCTTCTCTCGCGATGGCTCGGTCGCCCCTCTTTCTCTGTGTCTCTGTGTCTCTGTTTCTCCGTAGCCGCGCGCAGAGAGCCCGCTTCGCTCGTTCCCTTCCGTCTCTTTGCCTCCGGTATCAGCGTTCTCCGTGTCGCGCGACACGGAACACAGCCAACGGTTTTTTCCAATTATTTTTCGCTTTCCGAACGGACAGGATCGAACGGTTCCCCCGATCGTTGCTGATCTCCCTGGATGCGCTGTCCGCTTGCCCGCCGGCACTCCGATCGTCTGTCGAGAGTAAACTCGAAATAAAGATCCGTTAATTTATTAATGACTCCCTTGTTTGCAAGTCGACGCACAATGTTGGAGAAAAACGGCTCGGTTTCCCTCGTATCCGTTTGCGCGCGGAGCGACCGATAGGATGATCCAGAAACACGGGGTTGGGATCGAGAGACCGACGAACCAAGTCGAAAGAGCGAACAGGTGTTCCCGCATAGAATGCGCGGCCGCGTACTGACGCCGCGATCCAGGAACGTCGCCGTTGATACACGACAGACTCCTTCGACGCCCAATGCGCATCCACAACAACCCTACCCATCCCAACCCTCTTCCCTTCAATTTCGTTCGCTTTCTTCCTACTACCAGACACGCTTCGCGTTTCTGCTTCCT